GTGACAATAAGTACAACTGTAGATAGGCGCTCACCGATTGTTTACGGAACTTACTCGTCGCGTTGTACCTTGTGGTTCGCTTTCGAGCCGCGCCAGCAGTCTCCAAATGGCTATCATATATTGTAGGTAAAAATGCTTTACGGTCACGGACAAGGGGACCGGAATGGTCAGTTATGGCTTATTAGTCCTCATCAGCCAGCCATATCTTACCTCAGGGACAAGAATCCCCGAGGCTCGAAACTGCGACCTTGTTAGCTAGAAGTCCAGTGCTCCAACCAATCTCTCTCGTCTTCGTCGGTCATTCATTTTTGCCCATACATGCAATTATTTTATATTTATTTCCGGAGTATGTTTTTCATAAATTTAAACCGATGCAGGTTTGATTGACGAAACGATAGCTATTGGCAATAGCATGGACTCCATCCTTCTATCTATTGGGTGAATTATTGTTTTATTTTACTTTGAAGTCAGTCTCCCCAGTTTAAATGACGGCTGGAAGATATGCGCCAGTAGTTTAGGTACTTCACTTGGCTATGTTAACGCTTGCACCAATATATCGTTTGAACCCTATGGTAGGTCCTGTTTGGAGAAGGACTATTTAACTAAGGATCTGATTTCCATATTAGTAGGTTCAGTTAAATTTTCGAATCCCATTGCCAACTAAAATAAAAATATGAAGATTTTTTCAAGGCACGAAGTTAAAACGACATAAACTGTAAGTAACAGATATCTGAACGGCCCAGCCGATAGTGAACTGGACAGCGTATGTGGGCTCTTAGCTCAACTTATACGTTGTTTAAGTTTATCAATTTTACAATTTTTGTTTTAAACGCAAGCCACTCGAAAAAAATCACTTTCAATTCTTACGGCGTGCTGCTCGCTAGCATTTCTTGCTAACAACACTCCACAGCTCAAATTATTCTATCCTCATCTGCCGCTGTTTCTTTCGCCCTTCAAAGACACCATTATCTGGTGATCATTCTCGGGCTCAGGAGAATCCAACAGCGATCTACAGACGAGATTTCTCTCAAATCT